CGCGCTAGTGGTAGGACCCCACGATATGCGAGGGAAATTTTCTGCTCCAGAAAAAAGGGCATACAGTCAGTAGTCACAAATCAACTGAGTAACCCCGCCACAAATAGGCATACATGATCCCACCACAGAGCATATGCATTCCACCGACAACGCTGTCATCAATTTTGCGTCCCGTGCTCTGTAGACCACCTTTTCTCTTGTGTCAGTCATTCAGTCGTATCCTAGGCTTACATAAACACGAACTTCCGCAGTCTGAAATCAGATTACCCTCACTTCCACGTGATTAGTTTGCCGACCACCAACGAACGAAAAGTTGTTGAGAATTCTCGTCAGGGCATCTTGCTTACCTGCGGAGCTGTTTGTCGACGTTGGTGGAACTAGACACGGCGGTCCGCCAAGCGCACTCCTCGTGTGAACAGTGTGTGTGTGTGTGTGTGTGTGGATCTATTCATCTGTGTAGACACCAAGCTTGTCTTGTATTGGTTGCAAGGTCACATGATACACGTCATATCAACCCTTGTCATTTGTCCATGCACACGTTCCCTGTACAGGTTAGTCGAGATTTTCGCGCTCGTTGGGAATTCCGCAGCACACTAGTCTGCCAGCGTCACATCAACGCGGGATATTGGCATCCGGGGTGGATCCGACAGTTTGTTCGCCGTGCTTTGGGACCGAATGGTACATGACGTTCGTCATGAATCGAATAGACTTTCGTCAGCTCCGGGCCTCCAATGCGCAGCCACCTATCCCACCTCCCCGGATCATCGGTGAACGGAACTGCGGTAGCTACAACCACTGTACGACAACTATGCGGTTATTACAGCTGATAATGATTGAATGAGTGAATGGCCAACAATAAGCTGCCTAACAACGCATTATCGCATTTTGGACGCAAGATGGACAGTGAACACGGTGAGATTTTGATAAATGCCTACTGTGTGCGTTTATCGCGCATCGACCGCTTCTCCGCACAATTCTTTCACTTCGGACAGTTAGCTACATTGGCATAGGACTGATGCCCAAAAATTTTGCCAAAAAAGCGACCAAAAATAGGTTAGCGATGGGTCGAAAGGATCAGCTTTCATTCAGCCAATCAGTGCTGAAAAGTGCCGAAGAACGTTTTTAGAAATTCGCATCCCGTAAACTAGTTGCGAGTGCATAATTCTCGGTAATTGGTTGAACACCATGTCACTCACCATAGTAAGCTGATCAACAGTTGAACTAATCCAAATTTAGAATACGTTCAAGGTTTCCACACGCCTGTCCTTCTATTGCTCGTGTCATGCAATGTCGAATGAACGAGCACTAACCAGATGAAATGCCCGTCTGACTTGTACGATTTTTTCGTCTTCTGAGCGTCGTACTTGCGTAACGGCGATACTACTGAGGAGAAAGCATACGAGTAGTGTGTTTTCTTGTAAATCCGCCTTGCGTCTCTTGAAAAGTGAGATCCATTACGTAATTTGTGCAGTCGCTCCGTAGCATTTCCCCGTCTGACTTGTCCGGTTTTTTGTCTTCTGAGCATCGTACTTGTGTAACGGCGATACTACTGATGGGAGGGCACGCGAGTAGTGGGTTTTCTTGTAAATCCGCTTTGCGTCCTTTCGAAAGGTGAGATCCATTACGGAATTTGTGGAGTCGCTCTGTAGCATTTCCTTGCAATTGAGTAACAGTCAATGAATATCCAGGAAAGTTCAGGAAGACGCGTTCAAGGAGAAGATGGATATTCAGTTTTTTAAACAAGATGCATATAAGAGATTTGCTTCCCTGTCTAATAGTCTGTAACTCTACAGCAAATGCCTTTTTCCTTCCACTTTTAGTGAGTAGGTGTTGAGAAGCATTTTTCATCTAATCTCTACTGAGAGTCGTCAGCAGTGCATACCTAGATGTGGATGATTAATCAGTGATTCCAATCTTCCCGGGAAATCCATACTCCGAACCAGTTTGGGTCATTTTTTAATGCCGACCACCTGTCCAACAGCTTTCAGAAAAACGACCCCTCTCCTGCAACAGTCCACAGCTAGAACGTCCCTTTTTGGGGCATCTCTACCAACGATAAAGCACCTACAGTGACAGATGCATATATTGGTGGACTGACAGCTAAGCTTACCTTTCAAAGTTCACAATCCAAGGCCATCCGCTTGTCAAATCAATGACGTAGCAAACATGTGGTTTTGTACTCTAAAAATGGGTAACGTTGATTTTCAGAAGCTGTGGATGGATGCAAACTAATAATAACATGTCCCAATTTCACCCTCTTCAATAAAAACTAAAAGTGCAAATTTCATGTCCTCTTTTTTGTAATCCTTTTGGGCTGCGGGGGCTAATTTTTTGGCGGAGCTAATCTGGAAAGATCCAAACCAACCAACCATCGTGTGTTGTCTCACTGGTAGATTTGCTTCTTGTTGATAAAACATTACATGTATGAGTTCCACCGTTTAACGTGTGCATCGTTTTGTGAAAAATACGTGATAAGTTTAGTAATATTTGGCCATAAGCTTTATGCGCTAAACTTTGTTGCGCACTTTACCCCGGTAGATGGAACTCAGTTTTCCAATGGATTGATTGACAGTACCAAGCGCGACAGTTTTACGCAATCCTGCTGGATCACGGATGATGCCAGATGTGCTCGTCATAATCAGGTTGCAAGGGAACTCGCAAAACGTCTCCGTCGACTGGGATACACCGTCTTCGAGGAGTTGAGAGCACCTTCCTTCCTTCCTTCATTAAACCTGACCTAATCGCTGTTCGAGATCACCGAGCAACTGTACTAGACGTCAGCATAGTCTCGGATGGGCGCGGAGTGACTGTGTGGAATGAGAAGAAGCATAAGTATAGTGCTGATGAATAGTCCCTCGCCAAAATCTCAGCCCTACATGCCATCGGTTGTGATGTCGACTTTTTGGTTCACCAACCGATTATCATCTCTTATCGAGGGATCTGCTTTCCTCAATCCGCCAAGGCTGTTATTGGACTGGGACTTCCTAAGGTCGCAGTCAGTGACTTGTGTTTGCTTGCCATTGTGGGCTCCCTGCGTACTTATGACACTTTTATGCGTGGCACATGGCGTTGAAGGTACATTTTTGCCATTTAATCTCACCCCAGACCCAGTATGACGGTCACTTTGTGCCTGATGTGCGAGTCTTGACTGTGCTAGCGCATACTGCGCCTTGAAGAGCATTCACCATTGTTTGTCCTTTCTTCGGCTATTGGTCTTTAGACACGTGTTTCCATATCAAAATCTTTACATACTTTGGGATTCACCTCATTAGACTGGAACTGTTCTTGGCATGATTTCGAATGAGACGTTTCTCTCTTTTCTCCCATATTCTCCTGTTACTCTTTCGCATTCATCGCTTGCATCGACTTTTTATGTTTGTGAACATGCTCTTCAGAAATAAATGATAATAGTTCTTCTAACCCACGATTTAAACAATCGTCAGACACCTGGTGAATTTTCGTTTGATTGTTCGTCACTCCTTGTTGAGGGCCTGACTTGTAGGATAAGAACCGCACCAAACAGTAAAGTCAACTGCTGCAAAGCTAGCTGGTGGACACCTGGTCCAGACGGAACAGGCCAAAACTGTTGATCGAAAGATCACGTGGCCGCTCTATCTACGCCCACCAATAGATTTGACCAATGGAGTCCAGTTGTTTATGGCGTTGACTAAGAAATATCGACTACTCACAGTCAAGCTCATGCTGCGTGGAACGTTTCTTGAGCTGTTTTATTACGTAGAGACCATACTTTTGCTTGTGTCAGGACACACCCAGACATGGAAAAAGTACATGTGCAGAGAGTGACGCATCCCCAAGGTCACCATCGGTCCGACACGTTTCGGATAGCAGGTGCGTTGGCGGAGCTCACCAAACATGGCCTAGCAAAATACGACCAGCGTAGTGGGCCTGAGATTGCTCACGACCGGAACACCGCCGTTGGCTTTACAGAACGAGCAAGTGAACGACCATATTTGGCCATTTATTCATCCCATATATTACGCAGACGCTCTGTATGTTTTGTCCTAACAATACAGCCGTGTCCCCAGTTCTCTGTCTTCTCCCTGTCGTGTAGTCTGGCAGGCTCAGTGCAGTCGTAACCCATGGACGGCCACTCACGATACAACAGTTTGGAAAGTTCCATCTGCAGGTGTCGTGACCAAGGGAGAATAACGCGACTTTTAAGCATCTCGGTTCACCATAGCTAAGAGAAAATCACTGTTCATGCAAGGTAATAGTTGCGATTCTCAATTGCTAAAAGACATGGTTCTCGTTTCGTGGCTACACAGCCGACAAAGTTCAAAATAATAAGTAATCGTCCACCTGTAACGCCCTTTTGGAGCCTAACTGCCATTCCACCCGAAGGAAGTACGAGGGTGGGCAAGCCTAGACGGGGGACCCTCATTGATGAGTTCAGCATTTTTGCGTGCCAATCACATGAGACGTTTTGCGGGACCGCGAAGTAGTGGCCCTTGTTCAGAGATGAAAAATAACCTCGTGACGGGAACATGTTAGACATACTACAACTTTTGAGAGTGGTAAAATTATGCGCAGAATTTCCCCCCTCACGCAACTAACCACTGATAACTGAGTGATTAATTACAGCTGCGCCCTTTTCTCTCCGTTTCAGCCGTATTCACCGAGGTGAAGTAAACATAGATGCAGTGGCGCTTCAGTCTTTCGTGTCCATTGCAAAAATTCATTTGCCTTTTCATCCTTTTTCATCGAAAATCATGTTTTTAAATGGTACGAGAATGGAAGAGAATTCACCGTGGAACGGCGGTGAATTCCTGAGCCACTGTCCGTCTAGCCCAAATACGTCCACATGAGGAAAAAAGACCGTTCCAGTCGACTGAGGTGAGTCGATAATACCGCCCATCTTCAAAAATGGTACTCACAGTGAATGCAGTGACAATAGGGGGTGCCAGTTTGACACATTTTGTAACCAGACTCCTGGTGTCACGGATTCCTCGTCGTCTTATGGCGACATGTGAATCGCTCACCCGTGAGCATCAAGCGGAATCCCGAGGCTGCGCCAACCACGGTTTCACACTCCGTCATGTGTTAGAGCAACGCCATGTATACAGACGACTAGAATCTTGGTTTCTCTTGACTCTTTAGAGTTGCTTTTGATTCTGTAGATCTGCCAGTGCCCTTAACTACGGAACGGAAGTTGTCCCAGAAGTATGCGAACATAATCGGGTCACGTACTTAGGGTGTGTGAGTGTGTATGGTGAGCTCTTTAACAGCTCTCCTACAAAAAATGGTGTCTAACAAGGATATGTGCTATCTCTCCATTGTTGTTCAACTTCATCATTGATCAGATGAAGCGAACGCTGAAAGGTCTTCAAAACCCTGGTGTTCACATCGTTGCTGGTAAAAACATCGTCGATCTGGAGTTCGCAGACGGCATTGTCCTCATCTTTGAAGACGAAGGCACAACGCAAGCTGTGATGAATAAACTGATCACCATCATTCCATATTTCAAAGTGCAAAGTCATGCTTCAGAAAGTACAGTCTCTTAACATGTTCCTTGCAAGCAAACACATTGGAGCTTGTACAGAATTTTATATAATTCGATAGTTAGATCAACTCTGACGGAAGTGTGCCTGCTGAAGTCACTGCACGAATTTTAAAGACCCGAATCACGGTTGCCAATTTGCGTTACTTATGGCGTCAAAAAGACAGTTTTTTATCTCAGAATGGCGCAACCTCCGAATTGGATAACGTGTGACTTGGCAGAGTGCTTTAGAAGAAAATACGAACAGCATTAGTGTTTTTGGTGCGGTCCGCATTCAAGGAAGAGGTCCCCGTGACCCCCCTGCACTTGTTTGGAGACTATGCAAGAAATAGCGGCAAATAGATGTCAAGGACGTTTCTGCTATCAGTTTCTTTCCAGACTGTCCGACTGAAAACTTGGTATTGTTCGCACCACAAAATGCATTTGTTAGACTGGTGACAAGTCCTTCTCTCATCCAGTCTCTTCTCCTCTTCTCACTTTGGGGCTTAAAGAACCGAGAGCGCGAGGTTTTCACTCTGAGCTTTGCGGGGTAGTTTTCATACAGCGCCTTTAGAGGTCTCCAATCCTAGACAAATCGCACAGTACCCTCTTGAAGCTTTCTTTGTTGTGAGGATGTGCGGTGGACTTTTGTGATTCTTCAGAGTTGTTCCAAATTTAGAATGCCTTGTAGCAAACGTTAGTGTGTGTTGTTTGATTTTCTGTTAACTGACGTGTGTCTGGACTTTCTAAAAATGTGCAACCGAACGCACGCAACCGAATTGTCTGTCTTGTAAATCAGGACACGGTTTATAACGACCGTTTTTCCTGAGTTCACTTTTTACAACTTTTTCCCAAGCCCATGATTTTGTATCGATAAATGGCAAAACTGATTCCGTACGACTCAACTAACCGATTCGTACGGTCATTCAAGTTCATTTGGATCTTTTAGTTTCACAACTGCACCTGATCGCTCAACAACTGCCTTTAGTTTCATGTTTGTCGAATGCTTTCTTTCCTAGCCAGCATACTTGGCGAAATAGAGTCGCTCCAGTCGAGAATGGTTTCAAATCATGAACAAGGTCGACAGTAGTGTGTACTGTGCACGGAAATGGGGCGAAGACATCGAACGTCATCCGTCTACTTGTTTTCACCTGCACTCTTCTTATTGTGAAAGAGACCTCTTCGGGAAGGAACCACTTTGGTTGGCCTCAGGTTTTCGATTATTTTGCGAAGTAAACCACGATGGGAAAGCACAGTACTTTTATGATGAATAAAGTTTACGATTTCAGTGATTGTACACTGAATACAATTAAAGTTGGTCAAGTACCTCCACGGTTCCGGAGTAAGAAATCACAATGCACCAGTTCTCGTTCTAGCACCTGTTGGAATGAAAATTTAAGTCTCGGGGACGAGTAGGGTCGTTTTGTTGGGGACAACGTTTGTCTCCCAGAACTAAACTCACGGGACATAGGTTTATGGGTAATTCCTATTTTGGGATCGGTGTGCACTTATCCCCAAGCAGACTTGGTTCTTCCGAGATCCACTCTTGAAGGGACAGCTAGTGCTTTTCATTGCAAAGTTGTGTCCTCACATTTGATAGTAACCTCTGGTGCTCTGGCCATCTGACGTCAGTTGTTGGTTCCCCTGGGTGAGTTTCCAAAATCACTTCTAGCAATTAGCCACGAGGCGAACAGGATCTGTTTCATTTGACATAGCAATTGTGGGAGACAATCAACTCAAGACACGGTTTGCCAGAATAACTCGCTCTATTCCGCTGCAGTATCTGACGGGCATTTTTATTTAACAGATACATCGAGAAGCGCTCTACAGCTGTTTCATCTGCGTCATGAATCGCCAATGGGAATATCTCTGGAAAATGTAGGGTGATTAATTTTCAGCAGGTCATGTGATGGAACCCCCAAAATCTCCTTCAAGCACAAACCTCCAACAGATTGTATGAGCATACCAGCCGCGCAGTCTTTGTACGGGAAGCAGCACGATTACCTACCCGAGCTCGTGCTACGTGCAAGTCAACCACGTTGCTACCAACGAAAAATGACCGAAAGATATGGTTACGGCTTCCAATCACCTTCCGGTTTTTTTTGAGTTGGCTACAGGTTCCCGACGATTCGGTCTGGTTGGTTGCTTCTCCATCCGATGTGATTGCATGCCGTGATAACTCTGGCGTTATCGCCAACAGGTGAGTTTAATTGACGCCAAGGACGGTACGAACGTCTTTTTTTTCGAAAATACTGGTTGTGTAATCGTGTAAAACATTTTGATAAGGTTGGTAGTGAATCTGCTGTCTTCGAGTGAAGCTCGACCCGTCATTGTTGAACCCCAACCATACTCCCAGGAGGCACCTCTAAATAAGTTGATGAGACAAGGCTTTCAACGACACCAGCCTCCTGGTTAATGACACTCAAAGAGCTTTACATCACCTTTGGTTGGAGGATAAATTATCGAAAGATGCCCTTCGCGTCAGGGCTGACACGAGGCCATTACAGGCTCGTTTCTGGAAGGAGCCCCCATGTCCTACGGGAGAGCCAATAACGAGGCCACAGGGACTGGAGAAAGTATCCCAAGGCATGTGGGGAGCCAATGAACGAGGAATCTTATTGTACTTTTTGCAGCCGATCGAATGTATGGTGAATATTCACACTATGACAGCACGATAAGCCGTAAACGACATTGTGGTCCCATTGCAGGGTTTCAACCGTATCCAGCTTATCCTGTTCGTGTAGCTCACTAAGCACTTGTAGTGCTTCACGTGAACTACTTAGTGGATGTGAAAAACGCGTTAAACGCGAACAACAGACCTCTGCAACTGCGAAACGACGGCTTGTGACCTGATAACAGGACGTCTACCTCTGACGTAGGCATGACGACAGGCGTGTGTGTGTGTGTGCGTGTACGTGCGCACTTGTGAGAGGACGTACATTGTCCCAGTTACAAGCTATCGTGAGAAAAAATTCCGGATAGGAAGAAACTGACAATGTCCTGGCTACTTTTGATGCTGTTGGTGTGTGCTGCTGGTAGCGTCTCGCTCTATGCGCTGACCTAGTTCTCGTCAGTCGCGCACATTGGCAACTGCCTGCCTAATTTCGGGATATTGCGCAAAAAATCGACTGTGTTCACTGCATCACCACCTATGTCCGTGAAGTGGTTCAACAAGAGGAAACCAGGCTGCTGTCCCAGTTGAATGGTCCAGTGCTGTTGCTTATCACGGGGGCTGCGCTCAACCGCATTATCCATATTCCAATTGACCAAAATGACAGTATAAACGTGGTTTCAATGCAGTGCCGAGTTTGGTAGAGTCAATCTGATCAATTTGAACGTCTACAGATCAGTTATGATTAGCCTATGTACTAGTATTTTACTAAAGGCCCACAGACCTACTGTGCTTCAAAATTGGAGTTGAATTGGTTGGAGACACTACAAGGTATGGCTGCCAACCGATGTCAGTGGCGTTCTTGTTGTCAGTTTCTATCCAGATTGCCTGAGTGAATGTCTGGAGGTGTAGGCACCTCGAGTTGATTGTGATAAGCTAGCACTAAGTCCCTTCCCCGTCCACCTTTACTCTTTTCTTTACAATAAGGCTTTCATATAAAAATCATGGTTGTACCGCGGTGAAGCATCGATGTTCAACACTGATGTCGTGCTGTCGAGGATGATGATGATGATGATGATGGTGGAGTTCAATTTCTCCCCCTCCTCCTTTTGTGCGTGCGCAATCACACTGAGGGGTGGGCACCGGGCTTGCACATCTCGAGAAGGTATTTCATCACCATCCCCCTGCAAACAAACCTTACTAAAAGGTACCAAGATTCAAAAAGGACGAAGGAGGGGAATGGATCGAGTCAGCTGTCCTGAGTCAACAATTAGGTGGGAACAAATGTTGACCGACGTTATTACTTTCGAGAGCTATTCTCCTGGTCAAGACAGGCGAAATCTGCTACCACGCGTTTAGAGACTGTTTACTTCACGATCAATTTGTCTGAGTGGACAGCGTTCACGTGAGCAGATCATGCATCACTCGATACGCGTACAAGCACAATATGAGTACATAGATTTGGGTTGAGTGAGCAGATCGTGGGAGCCGGAATTTCTGAGTGATGTATGAAGCTGCAGCTATCGTCTTTGTACTAGAAACTGTGCCAGAAAGGGCCACCGCTTGAAAGTGAATACCCAGAATCTCAGACCGCCACAGCTCACTAACAAAGTACAATTGGCATTTGAGAAAGCCTAAATTGGTTTGTTTGTTAACGGTCTTCTTGAGTACTACTGACATATATTGTAATCCTTGCGTGTTGGCGAGGACTGCTCGTAACCAGCGCAGTTGTACGTAAAATCAAGGAGAGCATAGTTCAAGGTGATATTTTCTTCCGCGTATCTTTGTATCTTACGTACACCTATACCGGAGAGATTCAGCCTGGTAACGCTCTGCTTCATCTTTAGACAACGAGATTCATTTGATAAGATGGGCTTTTATCTTGCCGATTCCTCGGCGACCTGAACTGCACAACGATAGCTCGTCCTACATTGATTTGATTCTGAAGGATTCTTTGAACATTCACTGACTCTTCTTCACTCGTTTTCGGTACATGGGGTTATGCCACAGTGCTCATCATCCTTCCCCTAGCAACACTGGTTCTGTTAAGCGTGGAACCAGGCAACTGTTACAATTTCGTACGTTGTGCTATTGGTCTTTGACCCATTTGCCCTTCAGCTAGCTCATCTCCACCAGTGACATTACTCTGCCTCTGCATTTCCTACTGAGTCAATTTTCTCTTCCTTCCAAATCGATGAAATTCGTCCAAATTTGTTGAAATGCTTCCCAACCAACCTGCCATTTTTCCTTATTTGACAGAAATCAAAGATTCGTTCTCAATGTATAAATATGTTCTCATACAATGAATACAATAAAACAAAGCGGAAAAAATTATTGTTCAAAATAGAACTCACCGATTACACGTCTTTTTGGTGTCTTGATAGTCAGGGACTTTCTTGGGAATCGCATTGAATGCGTTTTAATCTTTTGTAATGCCACTGTTCTGTGCGGCTGCACAATTGTTTTGCATGTATCAATAAATCAGTCAACCAACCAACCACTTAATCAATCAAACAATCGATCAATCAATCAATCAGTCAATCAAACAATCATCATCATCATCATCATCATCACTCCCATCATCATCATTATCAGCTGTAACAACCGCGTACTTCTCGTACAGTGGTTGTTCATTGTTCACCGTCCATCATCGTTCACCGATGATTCGAGGAGGTGGGTTAGGTAGCTGCGCATTGGGAGCGACAACAGCACTGTAGGTGGACTGTTAAGCGAAGGGATTGGGGAGGTAGCTATGCATTGAAGGTAATAGCTTGGATGCATGGGCGCCACTGAGGGCAGGACTGGGCCATGTCTGACAACGTCTCCAGCCGTTGATGTGGCCCGTCTCAGGGTCCCCGTCCAGGAAGATGGCAGTGACCGGCGCAGCTGAGTTTGCTGGTAATGGCTTTCAAACTTCGCTGCCAAGTCATTGTTTGACCGCCTCTGGCTCTCTTCCATCCTTCACGTGGTTGTGCGAGAAGGGCCCTTTGAGGAAGTCGGTCGACTGGCATATGCAGCACGTGGCCAAGCCAGCGCAAGCTATGCAGTGTGACCACTTCATCTATCGAGGGTGCATTATTTCTCCCGAATACCATTCGACGTACTTCAGCATTTTGATCCGGTGTTCCCATCAGATTCGGGCAGTGCTCCGAAGACACCGATGGTCAAACACTGAAAGTCTTTTAACGTCCTCGGCGAGCATCGGCCAGGTTTTTGATCCATATAGTAATATGGAGCGCATCGCAGCATTTTAAACTCGACCCTTGACAGAGAAGCTGATATCACGCCTACGCCTTAGGTGACGCAGGTCCACAAAAGCTGCTCTGGCCTTCCCAATCCGGATGGAAATATCATCTTCCGCCAGAACACCTGAACTGATACAGCTGCCCAGGTAAACAAATTTGTCTACTACTTCAGTCGGTTCATTCGCACGCATGAGGCCAGGGTTCGAGCCCAACCAATCTTGCAGTAGCACTTTACACTTTGCAGGTGTGAAACGCATGCCAAACCGTGAGGCGATCAATCGATCAGCAAATCACTTAGTTTATCAGCAATTCAGTAAGTCAATCAAGCCGGGTTAACGCGGAGTTTAAGGCGACTCTGGGCGTAGTATGTCCCACCAACTAAATATAGACTATCCGTGCCTTCCACTAACGCCTGTTTCCTGTTTCGTTCAAGTAAATGCTTCTTTAGCGTTGGAAGAGAAATCGAAAAAAGAAGCTGGAATTGATAAGCTAGGAGGGGTGTAGCAGAAAATATGTCACAATTGAGAGACTACCATTTTGCGCTGATAGGCCGAGAGAGATTGCACTGCTTACTTCATACTATTTGAACTTAAAATCATGATGAATGACTTCGATTCGATGTTTTGTCCAGTTCTTCACAAAATTCATTTCATGGAACCTAGCGGCCCATTCAGGGTTCGCAACGGCGTCCGTTCAGTTGGGTTGACATTGGTGCCACATGTTCACCAGTTCAGTAGCTTTGCGAGGTAGAAGACAGCCCTTGAAGCGGTTAGGAGGGAACCACGTCAGTGCTATTGTAGATACCCTACGCTTTTGTGGCAAGCAGTGACAGTTCTGAACATTCCAATCGCCAGATGTAGGCAGCGAAGTTTTACGAACCTAGCGTCGACACCAAGCGCATTGATAGTGTCGGGATGGTGTCGTAGTAGAACTGAACAGAACTAATGGCAACGATTATGTTCGCGAAGCCCAAAGTATATTTTCATGGTTGTCGAATGTTTGATATGGTTCTAGTAAACTTAGGCGTATTCCCCCGGAACTAATTATGTCTGAACAAGAACATAGTGATGAGTATTAATGTTTTCGGAATCTCGTCGTCAGGTCAGTACATATCTAATGGTTAAATAATAAAACAGACAGCTAAGATTGGTTAGAGTCACCAAGGCCTGGTTGTCGGCGCGTCCCACGTCGTATCCAATCGGCTGCTGTGAGGCAGTCTACAGGGCCGTTGAACGACTTGGTTGGCCGATTCGTGTCACATGACCAAACACGACCAAGCGATCTCGATAGCTCAGCATAGGGTTTCGCAAATTTAATGAGGCTGCCGTTGGATCGATACTAGCAGTCCATTGGGTGCTGATTAGGTGGCGTCGTTGCAATTGGTCTTTCTGCTGGTGACTCACACCAATAGACGCATCACTCAATTTGGCTGTTACTCAAACTACGTCGAGTAATGTGAATTCCAATGATATGTATTCAACACAGTAATCGTGTTTCCTGTATCTCAATGAGCTATAGGAACCGCAGCCTTAAGTTGCTTTGATGGGCTTTTCCATCTTTGACTATGTTATAGTTTGTATGCGATTGTGCCTCGAGAAACACATCGAGTGGCTTCGAATAAAAAGCTTTTGCAGAGTGTATTAGGGAATATCCAAAACACATTTTCACTGTGGCTTTCTCCGTGAGAGCAGTCAGACAGTACTTGACGTGGTGGCTTTTCGCTAGGTTCTGAAAGACTCACCAGTTCCGCTCCCGTTCACACTATCACCATCAACACCATCATCAACAGCTTGACACCGATGCTTCGCTGCTGTGCAACCGTGATTTATTTGAGGGCCTTATTGAGAAGAAAAGAATAAAAATGAACAGGAAAGGAGCTTAGTGCTGGCTTATTACAATCATTCCGAGGTACATATACCCCCAGACACTCATTCAGGTAATATGAATAGAAACTGCCAACAACAGTGTCATTAATATCGAACAGCAGCCATACCTTGCAGTGTCTCCAACCAGGCGCAGTGGGGATCACGCGGTGGAAGGCGAGTGGCACCGACAACACCTAGGCGTTTCGTAATCTCTTTCGTACCCCTCTGCCAGGTCAAGGGCTGGCCACCACTCTGAGTTGGGCATGGAAAACAGCACTCTCTTTGGCAAACGATGGTTCGGCATACGCCATAATTACCTGACTTGATGCTGGACACATTCTTGAATGGAAGTTCCTGTTGCACAACAGAAAACTTACTTTCTAATTGCTTCGTTACGGATTCGCCGATAATCAACCCACGCAATCTATGGCTCTAAGACAAAGGTTACCGAAACTTTGAAACAGTCTTAGTTCCGGTACCCAAAACAGCAATGTCGTACAGCCATGCAACAACACAGCCCGTACTGTAGCCTGACAGACACGCCCCTTGAGATTCAGTGATACACCGTTTTGATGCCACAGGTGTCTCCATTGCCAAACGAGACCCGACCTTGCAGATTTGTGCACTAACCTCATCTATCACACGACACTCAGAACCAATGCAACTTCCAAGTTGTGTAAGACGCTCCATAACTTGGAGTGCCTGTCAGGGCGCGCCCAGACAGAAGAAAAAGCACATATGCAGAGAGTGACGCATCCCCAAGTTCATCATCGGTTCGACACGTCCGGAAAGTAGGTGAGTTGGCGACTCTCACCAAACGGCTTAGCAACGCACGACCAGCGTAGTGGGCCTGAGAATGTTCACGACCGGAACACCACCATCGGCTGTACGGAGTGAACAAGTGAACGAGCATATTTGGCCATTTAGTCATCCTATATATTTCTCTACGTTTTGTCCTGGCAATACAGCCGTGTCCCCCAGTTCTCTGTCTTCTCCGTATCGCGTAGTCTCGCAGGCGCGGTGCAGGCGTAACCCATAGCTCGGCCACTGCACAATACAACAGTGCCTCTCCCTGGATTGTAACTGGCGTGTTCACAAGCGTGACTCTACAGCTTGTAAGTGCCAATTGCCAGTTCATCTGCTCCGGGGTTTTCGTCAGCGGCTATTGGAACACTGAGGGTTTTGAGGATGTTCGTCTCATTATCTCATCGATCACGAAAGAATGGAGATAGTATGCAACCCTGACGAACATTGCTCTGTGTACAGAAACTCTTCGAGAGCTCTCCGCGTGAATACCCTCGTACGTCTCACCAGATTGGCACACATTCATTGACTTGTGTGTTACTTCATATCCTCTGATTCCGTCGGAAGTTTGCAATTCACATGTCTTCTACATCCACTTATCAAGTCCTCCGAGTAAATCTCACTTAGTTCTATGCGTCACCAGATGAGCACTAATCGGAGCGATCGATTTTAGCTTGCCCCGTTTTGAATAATGCACTCTAAACAGAAACTACTGGTGTAACGTGAATGCTACTGATGGGGAAGGTATGCGAGTAGTATGTTTTGTTCTTGTAAAGTTGCTTTGAGTCTCTTGAAAAGGGAGATCTATTGCGGAATTTGTAGAGACGCTGTATAGCATTTGCTTGGATTTGAGCAACAGTCAGTAAATATCCAGGAAAGTTCAGGAAGACGCGTTCAAGGAGAGGATGAATGCCCAGTTTTTGTAAATAAGATGCATATGAGAGTTTTGCTTCCCTGTCCAATAGTCTGTAACTGTTCGGTTGGTGTTTTCTAATGAACGACTCAGCAGCGAAGGCCTTCTTTTTCATTGGAAGTCGGTTAAGCTTACAAAATGAGAATGTCTCACCCTAGTTTATGCGCTACGCTGCTGTCTGTGGCTTGTGAGACCAGGAAGAATTGGCCTCGTCTTGAAGATGAGGTCATTGCTTGGGGATTAACAGCTCGTTGGATTTGAATAGAGGGCAGGGTCCGTTAGTCTGTAAGCCAAAGAACCCATTCTATGAATCGGGAGGTTCTTGGAAGTTCTGGAAAAGTTTGAGGTGTGATTCCGGTCCTTTTTTGCGTGAACGACTCTCTCTCTTCGGGTGGATTGATCGGATGAATATGGACATATCCTATTCTGACATTTCTATTTTTGTCACCTTTTCCCCACCTTGCCGGTTTGTCTTCTTTCCAAACAGTTTACTGTTGAGTCCCCTGTCTTATTCGGTAACTGTGACAAACAAGTATATTCTATTTATTGTCTACATCATTGCCAGCATTCAAGCGAACCGAATGCGTACTTGGTATCCCAGACTAAGGCACAGTGGAGTTTCGGCACGTCCGCTTGTCATTCAATCGATCAAGTATCCCATTGTTTCTGATGACAAAACTGACTTTTATGGGGCTTTTTCCATGATATGGACCTATTCAGTGCTCCCAACTTCTTCGACGAGCATTAGATATCTTGGATAAGCTGTCTCGTACTTCATGGATTTCAAGGGTATGGTACAAAGGGGGGATTCTTTCGACGCACAACTTTCGAACACTTGAATGTCTGTCTGTTCATTCAAAACGTAATCAAACTCGGCTAGCTTCAGAGGTTTCCATACAGGTGTATTCAATAACGCATGATCTTTTGGAATGGAATAGCTGTATTTGCATTTTCTATCTTACGAAGTGTGTAACATACCTGTTGGCTAAAATTTCACCAGATTAGGAAGTTGTGTCACCTGATTTTTATGACAACTGTTTCTGAGCGTAAATCTGTTAGCGTGGGACCTCCAAGTCTGTGATGGTGGGTTTCTTCTTGGTGAGATAAGGACGCAGTGAATAGGATGCAGAGACCATAAACAAGGCATAGTTCTAGAAAAATCGATTTCAAAGTCCCTTGCATCAACACCATCCTTGCCTGGGTAAAACAAAACAATCAATAACACATTACTGAGTATTATTTAGGATTTTAGAGAAAGATTGTGGTAAATCATGATCCACTGAAGTTTTTGACAAACGCCTTCTGTCGTTACTTATAGAATGACTCACGTTAAGATGACGATCGGTAGGCATCTGCCCAGTCATGATATGCAGAATGTGTCCTTTGGGATGGCCGCTAACCTCGTCTGTCCTACACCATCACCGTGGGTCTGTTCGGCTTAAGGTATGATATGGACACGGGTAAATTGACTTCTTGGAAGGTAGACAGGAACGCAGCAGCGACCTAAGAGGAGGTGGATAAAAAATGATGGATCCACAGATTAGTGTCAGTAATATGCAGAAAGATTCTTGTTTTCACAAGAAACTTCTTGATGGGCAGAACTGTGAAGATCTATTGCAGGCCACAGACACTGCCAAGGTCGATATGCAGCTTAGTGGGTATTCTTTATAAGTATTTCGATGTGCATATGTGGAATGCACACTCCCTGTCGCCGCTCAAGTAACAATTTACTCATCATCATCATCATCCTCACCATCATCATCATCATCATCATCATCATCATCATCATCATCATCATCATC